GATTTTTAATAACTATGTATAAATCCCACCATAATACTATCACTATTAATTGACTAGTACATAATTCGAGTCGAAAGCAATTGATGAATTTAGCTTACCTCAAAAACTACCCTAAATTCATTATGGGATTTAATTTAGAAATATTTTTTTGGGATAAGGCAAAGATCATTTTTCTTATTCACAGTAATTCCAGGTTTACCATTTATGTCAATGTCCTCTTTTTTCAATCCATAAGGTAACTCCCAATCAAATGCATAAAGAAGATTTGATAATGCAAGTTCCACAGATGCAACTCCAAGTGCCAAGCCCGGACAACCTCTTCTTCCTGCTCCAAACGGAATTAACTCATAATCTTGTCCTTTGAAGTCGATATTGCTATTCAGAAATCTTTCCGGCATAAATTCTTCTGGATTTTCCCATATTTCAGGATCTCTTGCAATTGCCCATGCGTTGACATAAACTATAGTTCTTGGCTGAAATTCATATCCTTCTAGTGTAGATATTTTCATTGATTCTCTTGGTATTAAAAGTGGAGCAGGTGGAAATAATCTTAATGTCTCTTTTATCACTGCTTTGAGATAATGCATATTTTGAATATCATCTTCATTTACGATGCCTTTGTTACCAATTAAATTTCTAATCTCTTCTTGAACTTTCTTCATGGCTTTTGGATTCTTGATCAAGATTGTCATTGCCCATATAATCACAGATGAACTAGTGTCTGATCCAGCAAGTAACACATTCTACATAAAAATTGACAATTCATGAGAAATTTTCAAGGCAATATTAGGCGCTATAATATATATACTTGTCGTTATATTATATTTTTGGGAAAAGGCATAAGTATTCCTAGACTATGACCGAAATCTCAGAGACACACCTTAACTAATCTAATGTCCTATTACCCCCTGAATTCATTTTTTGTGTAGTTTTGTACACCTTTTGGCTTACGCGGCTCAACTGTGTGAAGTCACAGGGTGTGTCACCTAAGCCAAAAAGGTGTACAAAATTACAAAAAAATGAGTTCAGGAAAGTAATAAGATTTTGATTTAGTTAAGATGTGTTTCTGTGATTTAATTCATAGTTTAAGGAGGTACTTCTACGTTTTTCCCTATATTTTTTAGTGACAATAACAAATACAGATATTTGTAATTAACACTCTATTAACAGTTGTTAAATTTTTGGGCTAAAACAGACAAAAGTATAACTAGATGGGTTATATTACCATCCAAGCTCAAATATACATGCAAAATCAAATTTAGACTAGCTAGCAATTTAAGAAAAATAAATTAGCTTTCACATTTTTTTTTTCAGAAAACAAAAAGATAAGAGGTTGTGTTATGTTGAGCGAATTGAATTATGACCCGTTGTTTTTCTATCTTAATTCTAACATATTTTGCCTTGAGAACATTTTGAGTGAATTAGATTATAATCTATATAGTTAACCTAACCGTATTTAATCCAAGCCACTCATTTGTCATCTTTTTCATATGATTAAACGTACATATAAATGTATATATGCATATATGTGTGCGCGAACGCGTGTGTAGAAGTAGATAGGTTAAAGAAATGGGAAATTACCATGAGTATGCCTTTTATATCCTCCAAAGAGAGATCAATTGGTGTTAATTGATCTTTCTTCAATTGAAGCAAAATATCTATAAAATCTCCTTCCATGGATTTTGGCCTATTGGGATTGTAATGTTGTTCAATTAGTTCTTCGTAAAACTCATCCAAATCTTTGAAGTTCTTCTCAAGTCTATCTATCATTCCTGTGAGTTTATCGATCCAACTTAAAGATGGAAAAAAATCAGACATAAAAAAGCCTGCAAACATAGCTTGAGCTTCAGCCAAAATATAATTAAATCTCTTCCTTTCATGTGCTTCTTCGTCAAATCTAACACCAAAAGCAACTCTACAAATAATTGTACTATTAAGTGAAATCATCAAATTGCTCAAATTGGTGACTTGAGAATTAACAGCTTGTTGATATATTTTCTTGATCATTCTTGAGACTTCATCTTCACGAATCGGACTAAATAATTGCACTTTTTTGAGACTAAATAAATGAAGAACACATATTTTTCTCATTTCTCTCCAATAATCATTGTAAGGTGCAAAACCAATATCATGACCATTATAAGACAATTTTTGTTGGCCAACAAGAGAAGGTCTACTACAAAACACTAAATCTTGTGTCTTGAGTACTTCTTTTGCTAATTTTGCTGAAGAAACTACAATAATTGGAACATTTGAAGTAAGTTTGAATGAGAAGATTTTTCCATATTTTTTGGAAAGTTCCCAAAAATAAATATGAGGAGCTAAAGTATCAAATTGATGCAAATTTCCAATGAATGGAAGCCCTATAGGACCTGGTGGAACCTTATTTTTACCACTCCATTTGGCATTAGGAAGAAGAAAGATGAGGCAAATAGGAATGGCCACAAAGAGGAGAAAGAATATCATTTTATGGTATAATTATTGCCTAGTAACTTGATATGCCTTATATATATATAAATGGAGATTGGGCTAAACTATTTTTTTTTTTAGATTTTATAACTTTTATATACTGACAGTATAAAAATATTTCTAGATCATTTCTAGACCATCAGGTTATCGAAGATATAGTAACTATAAGTAACTATTCATAACAAGCGGAACCATTAACCTAGGGAATATATAAGATCGACAATTAGCTAAAAAAATTTAATTAAATTAAGTGTAAAAAATTGTGAACTATTAATAAATTAGTTAATTTTTAAATGAGTGAATTTTGTTTTATTTTTGTGAGTTTGAATCGTTAAAATAGTCACTAATACTTGTATTAGAATAGACTATTTTACCTATAAAGTGACAGCACAAAATTATACAACCAACAAAGCTTGAAAATGACATTTGTCCTCTAGCAATCAATATTATTGTACCATATAAATTGTAAAAAAATTATGTGACACACAATTCTGAATGCGTCTTTAATTTTTAAGATATTTGTGTGCATAACTTAGTTATAAAAAGGTGAATGAATAGATATCTAGTAGGGATAATAGAATATGTGGTTCTCATCTATTATCCTAGCCGAATATCAAAAGAGATTTTCAGCGAAATAAAATAAAGTATAAGAATACAACTAACATTTTGAATTCTATCAATAATTGGTTATATATCGAAGGAACGTAATATTATTTTGAAGCAATTATTATTTTATTATATTTATAAGCACAAAATATGTTTAGATATCATTCTAAAGGATGTATTATGGCGATTTTTATTAACGGTGTACAAAAACTGCCATAATACTACCACTTTTTTTGTATAAAACTACCCTTTAGACTCACTTTTGGATGTAATTTAGAAATAATTTTTAGGGATAAGGCAAAGGTCATTTTTCTTATTCACTATAACTCCAGGTCTAACATTTATGTCAATGTCCTCTTTTTTCAACCCATAAGGTAACTCTCAATTAAATGCATAAAGAAGATTTGAGACTAAATAAATTGCACTTTTTTGAGACTAATTATGTAAATTCAAAATCAGTTCACATAATTAATATATAATATTAATCACGAATAATAATTATAGCAAATTATAATTATTATAAAAAATTAAACAATATAAAATTGTTTTGTTACGTAATTTTCCCTTAAAAATATCATACCCAACGAATTTTGTCACGTTTGTTATTGCTGGCAACTATGCCATAAATATAATTAATAACCTATAAATGATCATACCATAGTCCAATATTTAATCAATCATTTTTTTTATACACGTGCGTGATATTTTAGTTGGCCAGTATATTTTTGAAAATTTTCCCAAGTTTAAACTTTTTATTTATCTACATTAGTTTTATTGTGGCAAACGTCAAATTCAAGATAAACAACCCTTTAGAGATAAATATGATGACAAAATCAACAAAAAAGTTATCTAAGGAAAAATCAACAAAAATTTTAATGTAATTTCCATATATTGTTTTCGATAAATTTTCAATTTAAAAATAAATACTAAAATTAGTTCAAAGCAATATTGCTAAGAGAAATAATATAAATGAAGAAGTTATGACAAAATGCTAGGGATAATATGACAAATTAAATTAAAAAATAATCGTAACAAGATAAAATGATAATCAAACTGCAAAAGATAACATATGATAACCAAGCTCAAAGGACAAGAGTAATACTACAATTAATAGTATTGCTAATAGTACACACGAGTTAGCCGGACAACGGATAACTAACATTCTATCCAAATTTTTATTCTTCATAACCTTCTATCTAAGGTCATATGTTTGATAAGTTAGAAGCTGCAATTTTAGGACGATATAAATAAATAAATATATACTCTAAACAGTCCAAAATAATTGACTTTTAGAGTGTGTTTGGTATGAAAGAAAATATTTTCTAGAAAAAATATCCAATTTCCCATTTTCAATTGGCTTAAATATTTTTCGGATGAACTTATGTTCCTTTAGTTTAATGAAAACGACTAACTTTTTTCTAATCTTTCTTTCAGCCTCACTCACCCCACCTAATCCACCTAAACGCCCCAACACTAGTCCCTCATAACGTGAACCACCCTACACCCAACTAACTCGAGACTCATCCCGGATCACCCTATTTGAAACCCCCTATCCCTCGAGACTCAACCCTAACCCAAAGTGAAACCTTACTCTAACTCGTGTCCTAACTCGACCCTCTCCGACATGGAACTTGCCCTTAAATCGATACAAGACCAAAACCTCGACCCTAACTCGAGGTTAGGATCTTAAGCTAGATCTCAGGGTCAGAGTCGGTCTTGATTCAAGTCTCATGTCAAGGTCGGGATTGGGTTCATGGTAGATGTCATATCAAAGGTCGAATCATGCATTGGATTGGAATACGAGTTTAGATTTAAGTTCATGATATTTATTTAGATTATACTTCGATATTTTTGAGACAATTATTTTCTAGAAAAATATTTTTCGTCAAATCGAACACACCCTATCTTTAAAAGTTGGTAAAAAAACTTTGGCTTATGTTAATGGCTTTATTTTGTCGATCCATCGTCTCTAACTTTACACTTCCTCGTCTTCCATTGCAGCTCGTCCCTCTCAACACAACAGTTCCTTTCCCACACTGCCCTTCCAAATACCACCAAATTACCGCTTTGCCACTCGTTCTTCGCAGCAAAACAGCTTCCTTTGCCTCACTGCCATCGCCACCGCCGTCATCAACCATGGAGAACCCACCTGAAGGTTATCGGAGAAACGTCGGCATTTGTCTAATGAATCCTTCTAATAAAAAGGTCTTTTTTTCTTCCTACAGAGTAATTTCTGTATATTCTTCATTCAATTTCACTTTAAAAATCTGAACTTTGCAGATTTTTGCTGCTTCAAGGCTTGATATACCTAGTGCTTGGCAAATGCCGCAGGTAAATAATGTAGATTTCAATTGGATTCCCGTTCATTCTTTTTGTTTTCAATTGTTGAATGCGTTCCAGAATTTTCATTAGGGGGTTCGGAAAATAAAAATGTAGTGTCTAGATTTGAACTTGGAACCTCAAAATGAATTTTGAATTCCTGGAACAACTATGTCAACCTCCTATTCCTGTGTTTTTGTGTTTAGGGGGATTAAAAATGATCCTATGTATAGTGTTATGTTTTGCTTAGGGGTTCGGATGAACACGATTCAGTGAAATTGCGGTTAGTCTCGCTAGCTCTGTAGTTGCCTCCCCTTACTTGCTCATTCACAATTGTTACCACAAGAAAGTCATCCCTATCTCTGAAGGGGCTTATTCACTCCACGACCCCCCTAGATTTGTAGGGGTAGGTGGGTGGAGCAAGGTAACCGTCTAACCGGAAATTCATCTTTAAAGCTAAGTCCTAAGGAGGTTGGTTGGAATGTATGGGTGTAGGTTAGTGTCTTGGACCTGGAACACTGTACTCAGGGTTCCAAATCTCCAATGAGTGCCTATAAAGGGTTAATTATGTCATTGATATTTTCCACTACAAATTAGTCAAGGTAGTAAAATTATTTCTCATCTAATAATACTCCAAAGATGGTTTGACCTGAGGGGCAAACCCCTGATACTTTTTACATTTTGGGTCAATCTAAATATTTCACAGTCCGTTCATATTCATCAAGCTAACTATTTAACCATCACTTTAATATTGTTTTCTACTTTGGTTATAATTTGAACCAACATATTGACACCTTGTCTAGTTAAATACCTTTTGTAAAATTAAATTTTGGCCTAATGCATCAATTATTTTTGGTCACAGAGGTAAAATAGTATTCGCTCTAACTCGCTAAGAACATGTCTGGATGAGGTAATCATAGTCTAAAATATGGAAGATTGTGTGGTGAGAGAATGAACTTAAAATCCTCACTAAAACTTAGCAACAGTTTAAAGTTAACTATCATCTCCCACTAGTTATATCTGACTTCCTACCACAATCTACTACTGTAATCTACTATCTGACATGTGGATAAACATATAATCCATGAGTTTCTCATGGAAGCTGGAAGTATTAATAGGCCTCTAAGTCCAAGAAGAGTCAAGAATCGTAATTACTTGTGGATTAAATTATAGTGATCAACAAGCCAACGGGGAAAAGAAGTTTTGCTTAAACACAATGTACTGATCTCGTCTAGTCCAGTAATTCTTTCCCCTTAAGTTTGGATTATCAATTATTTGTTGGGATAATGAAACAAATAAGACCTGTTTCGAGTTGAAAGCTGTTAAGGAATGGACCTTGGTTCTACTCAGCCTCAAAATTTAGCTCATTACGTGAGGATTGCAAGACCATTAAAAAGGGCAGCCCAGTGCACTAAAGGCCCCCCTCTGTAGGGGTTCGAGGAAGCCTGGACCACAAACATTTCCTATGCCTGAACTTGCTTTTTTGCAAGAGCATATCCTATTTAAGGAGGTAATAACTTATTTTGACAACCGATGTGTGATATTTAACATCCCTTGCATGTCTATTGGACATTGGATGGGTGGATAGTATAACATAGGAGTACAATAGAGGTTACCGAGAATTGAGATGAGTCTAGTTTGATATCATGCTAGTGAGGAGGTGTGAGAGGTTGGCATTTGGCAATGACAGGCATTAAGAGCGGTAAAGGCAAACCAAAAGAAGTATTAGAGAAGGTGATTAGACAGGACATGACGCATATTGAGTTTACCAAGAACATGACCTTAGATATGTTGTTTTGGAGGTTGCGGAATAGGCTAGAAGACTAGTTAGTAGTTGAGCATTCTTTTGCTTTCGTGCAAGATAGGATTGGTGGCAGCACTTGGGCCTTCTTTCTTAGTACTATGTTCATAGTTTCTGGTTCTTTGATTTCGAGTATCATCTGTGTTTTTTGTGTTGTCGTTATCGGATCTTTTTTTTTTTTTGCATTTATGTTCTTTCTGATGTATGTTGTGGACCTGCTGTCGTTGTTGTTACTGCTCTCATTTCTATTTTCAAATTGCCTGGAAATGCTTTATTAAGCCGGGGGTCTATCAGAAATAGCCCCTCTATCTCTATGAGGTAGGGGTAAGGTCTGCATACACTCTACCCTTCCGAAGCCCTACTTGTGGGATTACTTTGGATATGTTGTTGTTGTCATTAAGATCTCAAGGTTCAGTTCTGGTTTGACATTCCTAGAAACCTTCATTTTTTTACCTGCATATTCTCTAAAGATGTTAGTTTTCTCTCAGATACAAAGTTAGATGTTTCTTTTTCTGTAAAATTTAAAATAAAAGAAAAAGTTAGAAGAACTGTGTAACTTTTTCAAAATCTTGGTTTCTGCAATAAGATAAAGAAAAACATAACTGGGTTTTCTGAATCAGGGTGGAGTTGATGACAATGAAGATCCAACAAATGCTGCCATCAGGGAACTAAGAGAGGAAACTGGAGTTACTTCAGCAGAAATTGTTGCTGAGGTATGAAAAGTAGGTCTTGCTATAATCTTGAGTTTGTCGAGTTTTATTTCTTTGGTCCTCTCATTCAAGGCAGGCCAAAGAGCTTTAATCAGCTCACGAAATGGCTGTTGTTATTTAATACTTGGTTTGTTGGGTTGTGCTGAGAGTTCCCACAGTTTAAAGTTGGTTTCCAAAGTTAAAGAAACCCGAGTCCACAAGATCCTCTTTCTTAATTAGATGTGATCTCCTGTTTTGAGTAGCGGTAGGCTGGTTAGTGATGTTCTGAATCTGTTGTAGGTTCCTCATTGGGTAACGTATGATTTCCCTCCAGAAGTTAGAGAAAAGCTAAGGCATCAATGGGGATCTGACTGGAAAGGCCAAGCACAAAAGTGGTAGGTGCTTCTAAATCAGCAAAATGTACTTGAAACTCTATATTTTGCATTCCTCGATAAACAATAAGTGGGAGAGTGATTGCTATACAACTTGGTTTTGGCCCACAGGGGGATTCTTCGACATCATGCTATAAAGTTCAACTCCTTATTTACTGCTCATTTGAGCATCTGATTGTTTTTTCTTTTAGGTCTCCACTGTTTCCTAATTCTGAATGGTACTGAAATATGTGGAAAAATTCTAGGTTCTTATTTAAGTTCACTGGAAAGGATGAAGAGATCAACCTTCTTGGGGATGGGACAGAGAAAGCCGAGTTCGGAGAATGGTTGTGGATATCACCGGAGCAAGTTATTGAACTTGTGAGTGATCCATTTAGACCTTTGAAGGTTGACTTAAAACGACTTACGGCTTTAACTCCTATCATTTTGACTTTTATCCAAAATCTTGTCTACAGGCAGTGGATTTCAAGAAGCCCGTTTACAGGGAAGTTCTATCTGTTTTCTCGCAACATTTTCAGTAGTGAAACTAGTCATTTCTGAATACGAAGTTCAAGAGGTTCGTTTATGTTAAACCCTTTCTATTAGATATTCACTGTTCCGCTGCCCATTCTGTTAGTAAATTCGTATTTAATTCATCATTCTGTCTTCGTCATCAAAGCTTGAACCACTCAGTTTGTCAGGCAGGACCTATGCATACTTCTATCCCTTTACTAAAATCAGTTTTTTGCAAAAACATTCATGTGTGGGCAGTAATGTGCTGTTGCACGACTACTAGAGGATTCATATAGCAGACCTAAACTTGTTTAGAACTGAGACATAGTAGTTTTTTTGTACACTTCTCGTCGTATATTTTCATGTTTCTAAATTTTCTTGATGCTTAACAGGTTTTATTTGCCAAAATAATGGGTGGAGGTTCAATATGTTTTTGCAAGGGGCTAACAGCATAGCTGGTTTTGGTGAAATAAATATGTAAACCTTGTAACACTATATACAATTATTGGTTATGCTGTAACCTAAATTTCCCTTTTCATCTTTTATAGAAAAAAGAAATTTTATTACACAGAGAAAATATAGACGTGATGTGTGATTTGTGTCTAACTAATCATTTATCATATACTCCCCTCTGTTTACTTTTAATTGTGTACTGTATCGAAATTAGATACCATTTTTACGAGATGAAAATCATACGAACAATAAGGTTCAGATCTAACATAGTTTTATTGTTAGATACCTCGATTTTGGTACGCAAAACAATTCAGTATATTGATAGGTATAAAAAAAATATCCTGTGAAATACATCTAGAATAATCTGTATCTACAAAGAAGTTGAATGTGATATAAAAGGTAAAATGTAAATGTATTGACATTGCATAAACAATTAGGATAGACATGAAGATTATAATTAGGAATAGTTATTCTAATTGATTTTGTTATGAAAAATATATTTACAGTAATCCTATAAATGCACACACATACTGTCACAATTAACATGCATGCATTATTATCTCAAATTATCTTTTTACAGTTAAAAAAAAAAGTTAGTCAAAGATAAATATAATACAATAAAATCTTAGCCAAATTTTTGGGAGGCAACATAAGGGTGAATCACCAAATTAAATACACAACCTTCCACATTTATTTCATATATATATATATATATATATATATATATATATATATATATATAAATATAAAGTTAGTCAAAGATAAATATAATACAATAAAATCTTAGCCAAATTTTTGGGATGCAACATAAGGGTGAATCACCAAATTAAATACACAACCTTCCACATTTATTTCATATATATATATATATATATGTTATTTATAAGGATTTAAAGATTTACTTCCAACAGTTAAAAAAAAAAAATTACATTGGCATGACTCATTATGTATTATCCTTTATTTTAAAAAAATTATCCACACAAAGATGAGTCACCTTTATTTTTACTAAATAATTTTATCACCTAAAAAAGATTTCTTGTTTCACTATAAAAACCCTTCTATTCTCAAAAGATTTTGAACAGCCAAATTCTCATATTTTATTTCTCTTGGTTTTATTTGTGCTTTTTTTGCTCAAATCAAAGTCAAAAATGACATTCCTCGTTGCACAAACTGATCATGGTATAATTTTTTTTGCCTTATTTGACTTCTTAAATTATATATTTAGTCGTTAATTATTATTTATGTAATTTGATGTTTGATTTTGAAATTTTTGGTTAAAAGTCTGTTGTTATTTGAACAAAATGTTATCAATGTTACTTGACTTCTTAAATTATATATCTAGTCGTTATCTTTCTGCTTTGATGTTCTAACTTGATATTTTTTATTAAAAAATTTGTTACTACTTATATTTGAAAAAGTGTTAATTAAATTATATATTTAGTCGTTAAATTGTTATTTATGTAATTTGATATTTATGTTCTTGATTTTGTTAATAGCAGAATTGGATAACAAAAAGGCAATTTCTGATGGTATATTTGTTGTCCCTGGCAATAATGCATTTGGCAACTCATTCAGGTAATTAATATTATTTTCTCAATCAAGAAATTATATAGAATTTAATATATAAAAACTTATTTTAACTTTACTCAATTATCAATGCAGGGATTATAATGCAGAGGCTGAACGTCAAAAGATTGTCCGTGAACTCTATCGCCAGAGTCACATTAACCAAACATATGATTTTGTAAGATTCCAAACAAATAAACCAAAAAAAAAAAAATCTTGGAATTAGAACTTTTCTTTATTGATAGAAAGTCTACATGTCTGATTTTATATTTTAAACAGGTGAAAAAGATGAGGGAAGAATATGGTAAAATGAATAAAGTGGAGATGAGTATATGGGAATGTTGTGAACTTTTGAATGAAGTTGTAGATGATAGTGATCCTGATTTGGATGAACCACAAATTGAGCATTTGTTGCAAACTGCTGAAGCTATTAGAAAGGATTATCCTAATGAAGATTGGTTACACTTAACTGGCCTAATTCATGGTTTGTTAGAAGGAAAAAATAATTAATTTTATTAAAAATTTATTAGGGGGTTTAAAAGTATTAATATTTTGTCCAAAAATGTTGTAGATCTAGGCAAAGTTCTTTTGCTTCCTAGCTTTGGAGGGCTTCCTCAATGGGCTGTTGTTGGTAAGAATTTCGTTTCGGGAACTTCTTTCATTGGCACGTTTATGACAGACAAAATTAAAGGACATTTTGATACGTTTTACAGGTGACACGTTCCCCCTTGGTTGTGCTTTTGATGAATCGATTGTGCTTCATGAGGTGATTTTCTTCTTTTCGAGTTTTGCTTTTTTCCTTACTATAGAGTCGAGGGTCCTTCAGAAACAACCTCTGATTGTCTTATTCTGCAGCAATTGAAGGGAAATCCTGATAACAACAATCCAACTTACAACACAAAATATGGAGTTTATTCTGAAGGATGTGGGCTTAATAATGTGGTGATGTCTTGGGGCCATGATGACTATATGTACTTGGTATGCATTTTTTTTATTATTCAGAATAAAAACCTTTCAAATTTAGTGAAAATAAATGAAGATTATAGCTGATTTAACATAATGTTTGTGTAATTATGCAGGTGGCTAAGGCAAATAAAACTACTCTTCCATCTGCTGCATTGTTCATCATCCGATATCATTCCTTCTATCGTAAGCAATACATAATTAACTCGTTTTTTTTGTTTTCAACAACGTACCTATTGTAATGATGTATGCAAACCTTACCCCTACGACTTGACGGATATAATGGTTAAACTTCATTGCTAATCTTGAACTATTGTTATGTAGCTCTGCATAAGTCAGGGGCATATTCTCACTTGATGAATGAGGAGGATCATGAAAACTTGAAATGGCTTCAAATCTTCAGGTAAGGTTTTTTTTTTCCACTTACATAATTTGTACTTCAGTTTGCTTCTGACTTGAAGGGTTGCCTTGAAGCAACGGTAAAGTTGTCTCCGTGTGATCTATAGGTCACAGGGGTAGACAGCCTACATCTCACTCTTTAGCGCTGTGGCTTGTTGCTTAGTACACCGAGCTGCCCTTTTACTTGCTTCTCTTGATGACCATTTCAGAATTAACTGTTGAGAATGTGGTTTGACTGAACTTTGTGTAAATTGACAGCAAATATGATCTGTATAGCAAGAGCAATGTTAGGATTGATGTGGAAAAAGTGAAACCTTACTACATGTCCCTCATTGAGAAGGTAAATTTGCATTTGCCTTACTAGTTGAGTAAAGAGAAAATAGTTTCATATTATAACACCTCTATCCGAAGTAAGTTGGAATCAGCTATATGAATCCTCACCGATCATGTTGGTTCCGTACAATCATTTCATTTTGCTTTACTGAACTGCAAAATACATTTTGATTGCAGTATTTTCCATCCAAGTTGAAGTGGTGAAATCTCCCAGACAGGGAAGCTCTGAAACAAGATGCTTGTGTATTCAACAAAAAAAAAGATTCAGGAACTAGTTATGGGATTTTATTTGTGCATTTTTTTCCTTTTTCTTGGGGGTGGGTGGGGGTGGGGTGGGGGTGGGGTAGGGTAGGATATGGTGTTCCTAATGTTTCATAAATAAAAAAGTGTGTTTGTTCAAAATGCATTTGACTTTTGTTCAATTATTGTGATGAAACAAACTATAATTGCTGTGAGAATGCGTTGAAATGCAAGCAAATACAACGTAGCCACTGTAATTCCAAAAGTAGGGTCTAGAGAGGGCAGAGTGTACACAGACCTTACCCCCTACCTCGGGAAAATAGACCCTCGACAAGAATGCAAGGATATCTAAGTTAATCATCAGAGCTACAAGGAACTTTGAAACAAAAGAAAGTTATATAAAAGCAAGACTTTCGTAACTGGCTTGAAGATAACAAGTAAATTTGTATCATTAACTCAACTAGCTTTGACATTGGCAGCTCATTATCTGTTCAAACTCATTGCTAGCAGCTCAATATCTGTATAGAGTTGAGGTTTCATTGCTTACCTCTTTCTGTAGTTGATACTTGTGGTCCATCAGTGTTGGATGTGACTAAGTTTGCACATAATGCTGCTACCTCCTTCCGTTGTTGATACTCACGGTCCATTGGTGACATATCTTTCCTATAATACTGCTCGAAAGTCCAAACTAACAATCTACAGCATAACAATTCATACAACTCTAAGCTTTAAAATAGACTTTTGTTGTTGATATTCATCACATGAACATAACTGGATTACCAACACAGTTCTGGTTTTAGCAGTGGAATTTTTATACTTATCTAACTGCAACTCCATTTAAGAACACTTAAGAGTGTTTAAGGCTATCCAATTAGTTGATTCTCAAGATAATTTCATCAGCTTCTAGAACTTTGTCGTCTAGCTCTACTAAGAAAGTCGTTCTTCAATTTACGCATAGGAATACCGAGATAAAGTCTAGCAGAGTTAATAATCCTTGAAGAAACAGTGACTAAGAAACTGCTACTGCTGCAGTAAAATGTACAATCTACTCTTCTCGATCCTAAAGAGAACATAACAATCACTGTGTATGATAAATAATGCGTTCAATATGATCACTAACAATGCCAGCAACAACCTCAGGAGAAAACCTACTCATCATATCATCCCTTGCCTGCTTACCTCTGGCCTTAGCTTCCTCCTGATTTCTCATTACATGCCTCAGTAGCGTTTGCAGCTTATTAACCGAAGGTTCAGCCCATAAATGTCCCTTAAATGGACCTTCTGTGACTTCACTCATCCTATCGACAGGCAATGGGTAGCTATTATCTTCTGTCATGAATTCAGTTGGTCCTGACCAATTCGTAGCAATCACTGGCAGAGTCATTGCCATTGCCTCGACAATAGGCCTACCCCAGCCTTCACCTCTAGATGGCAAAACAAATGCATTAGCAGCCTTGTATAGCCTAGGCATATCAACCTGAGCTATGTGTTCGTCGATTACATATACTCTAGCCCAACCATCTTTCGGTTCTTCCAAATCCGAATTCTCCACATATTCAACAATCTTGTTACCAAAATCCTTATCAGAATGATACGGATTCGTTAACAGATACAAAACAACATCATCACCTTTCGTAAACTCCTTCAAGTAAGACCTCAACAAAACATCCCATCCTTTCCTATATTCCCACTTGAAAATACTCAAGAATACAAACTTTTCTCCATTTGAAAATGACCCCATCACTAAATTCCCTAATGACCCTAAATCCAATCCCTCATACTTGACTGGATCAAAAAATTCAAGATCAACAGGCTGAACAATCTTGACAACTTTCAATGGATCAACCCCACTTTCAGTAAAAGTTTTCACATGAAAATCAGTAGGAACCCAAACAAAATCCAAAAGATTACACCTTTTAACATGCTCATCATTAACTCTATCAGTCTCAAACATAGTCCTTCCAACTACAGCTTTAAAATGACCATAATTAATAGGTGGACATGGAAGTGTATCAAAAAGTGGAGGATACCAAGCACCAGGTTCACTATGACAAACAACAACAGTCTCATTCAACTTACATTCTCTATGGTAAAGCTCAACAGCCAAATTCCTCATATCTAAAGGTAAACCCTCCCAAAATTCAACATTTTCAAGATCCCCATGTTGCTCAATTTTCAAATTAAAGACTGGATTTTTATTCATTGAGTAATTATGTAAAGCTAAAATATATGACCAAGCTTCTGAACTGTACCCACCTCCTGAAAGAAATGGAGCCATCCATAGAACACAATAAGGGGCTGTGTAAATGGGGTTTCTTGAAATTTGCTTCTGAACTGTTGGATTCAGTAAATTTGATCTGAGAAAAAAGAGTCTTTTGAACTGATTTGTTTTGCTAATACTGAATGAAATTGCTAATATGAGTACCAAGATTGATAAAAGATAAAAGGGTTTGAGTTTTCCGATGAATGGAAGAGTCCGGCCGGGTGACGGTGGCGGTGGGTGGCCGGAATCTAGTCTTTCGGCGGAATGCATAATCAGAATGGGAGATAAAACACCGTGTATGAGCCAAAAAAAAAAAAATTAGATCAGCGGCTAAGGCCCAAGTTCTGACCCAGACAAACAACGATTAGACTTGGGCCCAAATCCTTCTTTCTTTTTCTTTTTTTTTTAATAAAAAATTATTAGTTATTACAACTTGTCTAACTTTAAATAATAATTTAACTTAATTGAAACCCCTAGAAGATGAATTATTCTCTTTATATTGGTTTATTTCAATAAAATTTCATTCTCTATGGACTCATGTCTTCTTTATTTATTTAATCAATCATTTTTAGTGAGAACTTTCACTTATCTTTAATTGATAGCTTAAGATAATTCTTGTTTTATTGATTTTTTAATATATATGACAAATATTTTAATATATATGACAACTAAAAAAGAAAGAGAATTAAATCAAGAATATGGATTCATTATACTAACTGAGTTAGAGTCCCACAAGTTTACCTCTATTCATTTTCAGTCGTTAAAATAAATATTGAACTTTAGTGTAAGATATTTAAAGCATGATAGTTTGACATATATTTAATTTCCTCTATTGATCCGTGACTCCATGGTGTACCAAAGTAATTTAATTATTGTATTGAATAATTTATTTTAATGTTTAAAACTATATATATTTTATATCTTGGCTATATTTTGTAAATTTCAAAAAACTAATGAATATAGATATAGTCATATAGGTGGATATTTTTTTCTTATTAGTTATGATTTTCCTCAATTCAAACCACTTGGCTTCAGAATTAGGTCATGATATTAATCTCAAATTTCAAAAAGATATAGAGAGAGGGCGCAATGCAATTACAAACACAATTTTTTAAAATCAAAATATAATTTTTTTATCAATCTTTTATTCTTTTTAGAACAGATTAAAAAATTTGTAACAACTAAGTAGAAGGATGACAAGGTACATTGATGGTGCAAATACAAGTAAATTGTCCTTGGCCTTCGTCATCACACCTTGATCTCACTACATGCTGTCCATAACGTTGTTTACAAAATGTTGAACAAGGTGGGGATTGTTGTGAACAAGGAATAGGAGAAGAAAAACGTTCATCACATGTACCATCGCCATTCACTTGTTTCATCATCAACGTGCCTGCAAGCTCAAAATTACGGATTACAAGTTTAATTATTGGGATACATTTATTTAAAATTTGAAACAAATGATAATGAGAAAAATTGTAGATGAATACATACCATAGATGCAAATAATGAGAAAAATAGAACAACGAAAAGATGCACCAAAAAATTCCATTGAATAATGTTGTGGTGAATAAAGTAGTCACTCTACATTTCTTTTATAATCGTAGAACCTCAAAAATTATAGTAAGTAAATATGTTATTAATGAAAAGTGTTTAATTAATTTACCAATTGGGAAGGATTTACTTTGAAGTCAATATATATGAAGAATAATATGGAAATCATTAATTGTAACAACAAATATATATCTATGAATAATATGGAAATCATTAATTGTTGAACCAAATCTTAAGTGTACAAAATAGTATAATTTATTTTATATTTATACTTAGATTTGTTGCTACAATTAATAATAATTGTTCAAAGAACAATTTATTATAGCAACAATATGAAGAATATTTGAAAATATTTATGATAAAAATTTTAAATTATAATTTTTAATTTAATAAAATAATTATAAAAAATATAATTTTTTTAAAAGTGGATTGATCCGGCAACCTTATAAGCCCACGTACTGAATTGAGCCGACTATATTCTAGCCCATATCAAAAATAAACTAGCCGGATCTAACCCGTAAAATGTCAAAGTCTGTAAGTTAATAAAATATAAATTACAAAATACAATATGAAACTTACAATATATCCATTCAGAGACTACACGATGACATTCCATTTAATTGTGATAGAAAATATCATATACTTCCAAAAAAAGATAACAAAAGATATGTTTTATCGTATGATAAAACGTCTACTAAATAATAACGTGACAATTAAAAGTTAAAAAAAGGCATATTTGGGAGGATATTTTTATCCAAAATACAAATAATATATAAGCATAAAACATTAAATTACAACAACATAAATGTCAGAAGTACTAAAAATATTTCTAGGTTGACCTCCTATATCACCTATATATATATAGTAGTTAAGCATAAAGCATTTAATCAAATCAAATTAAAATTTAGCACTTTTATATCACAAAAAATATACACATACCATTTGTATCAAGAGATTAATACTTGGTGAAAATGAGTAAAAAACATTAATAATTATTTAAACCAAAAAAAAGTTCAAAACAAAATAAAAAAAAAAAATGAACAAATAACAATAACATAGGCCGATATAATTTCACAACAAAAATTTAATGAAATACGCAAATTTAATGAGTGGTAAGACTAACATGTAATATATTTTTATCTCGAGAATTCGTTTGATTATGCAATATCATAATATAATATAAAATTATGACATAAACTTTTATATCGTATATATTTTTTAAAAATATAAAAATTTGAAAAGTTGTAAAATTATTAAAATAATCTTAAAAATTTGTTCAATCTTACCTAATAAATAAAAAATTATAAAATTGCATGATAAATTATTACAAAACTATTTGTTCCCATTTAAGTAACTGTTTCATCAAATTTTAATTCAAAAAAAAATTAACATAAATTATAGTGAGCTAGTTTTTAAATATAATTCTCATGCATAATACTGACAATTTCCTCACGTTGAACATGCATTTTTCGATCATGTAATTGAGAACACGAATCAATATTGTTACTTTAAGCTATTTGCTGGTCAATATCATCCGCAACTATATTTTTATACTAATCGACCATAAATATTTCATTACTCTTTTGATATTCTCGTAAATAATTATGTAATATTGCACAAGCTATCACAATTTTCACTTATGTGTCAATATTATAATGATTCATGCGGTGATTCAACATTTTTTTAATCTATTTTTTCAAGCTCTAAAAGTACGTGAAATTATTTTAACAAATTTAAACTTGTAAATTGATATTTAAAAAATTTTAAATTAAGGATATGATATTTTTAGAGCTTATTTAAGAAAAATATATTCATTATTATAGATAATAGAGCGACAAATTCATCAGTGAAACGAAGATGGCGGAATTGAGAGGACTGAAGCTGGAGCAGAGGCATGGGAAATCCAGAGTGAGAGTAGCTAGGGTTTGGAGAGATCGAGATGGAAAACATCACTTTGCTGAATGGAGCGTTAACATCAGTCTCATCTCCGATTGTTTACCTGCATATGTCTCCGGCGATAATTCCGATATCGTCGCCACCGATACCATGAAGAACACTGTAAGTACTTCTATTTTTTTTTTCTATGACAGCTTATTCATATGCATAAATGATGATCTAATAATGAAATCTCAGTATGAAAACTTTGTTAGATTGTCAGATCGGGTGGCTTATTTGACTGAGTAAAAGTTGGTATTCCATACGTCCTTAACTTAATCTTTGATTTGAGTTTGAGATTAGAAAAATGAAAATTGCTAGAGAGCAGTTTTGGGGACTAAATTGCTACTTAAGTGGCTTGACTCTCTGGCTGGCCACAGATCTGTTGATCAATTTCATCATCTGTGAAACTAATACAGAAATGCTGGTATTTTTGGTTTCCGCTGTTTTTTTCCGAAGAAATCGAATGATCCTGAATGAGACTGTAGGATTGATCTAATTGTCTAAGATATTGCATGATCACAGATTTTCTTCACTTTTGTTGATTAGATAATTAGCTTGTACATTTTTTTGGAAAAAAATCTGATTAAATTCTGAATTATACGTTTTACTTGTTGTTTTCATTGTATTGTTGGTTCTGATTATTGAATTGTGAAATAGGTATATGCGAAAGCTAAGGAATGTTCAGAGAAACTTTCAGCTGAAGATTTTGCCATTGTACTTGCAAAGCACTTCACCTCCTTTTATCAGCAGGTAACACTTTGTCAAAATCTATTAATCACCGACTTTATTTGGGTCTGAGGCGTTGTTGTTAATATCTAATAATGAAATTTCAGTAAGAAAATTATTGAATGTCAATGGAACAGTATTTTTGGGACAATTATGTGATTATGTCCATTAATCTGTCAATTGCTCTGTTCAGAAGAATAAAGAATTGTGTATTTGTTGCCTTGTGTTATGTGCAGAGTTTGGAAATTCTTGTGCTTTGGTCGTGACATTGCTTAGTATATTATATGGCTTCTATGATTCACTTTACATGGATCTTCTTAAGTGCCATTTCATATTCTGTTGTTGTAGGTCACTGCTGCAATTGTTAATATAGTTGAGAAGCCATGGGAACGCATTAGCATAAAGGGCCAACAACATGAACATGGTAAGCCTTTTGATTTACAACAGAATAAGTTGCATACTTCCGTAATGAATTTCCCCCTCCCTTTAGATGTTAAAGTGAAACTCTAACTTACCTTATGCTGCTAAATCTCATAAATTGTAGTGAGTAGGCCACTTGGCTGATTTCCTCCCTTTCTTTACTCTCGTTTCATCTCCTTGATGTCAAGTTAATTTTTTAGATCAGGACATGAGCCATAGGAATTCTAGTCCCATTGTAAGTTATGATAAGACATTTTGTGAGTAATTTAACATATTTTTTCCTTATGTTGTTATTTCTTTCAGAGAATTATAGCCAGCGTCACAGTCTTCTGTGCTTTCATTTAACAATATGCTGTCAAACTTGATAAGGCAAGATCAAATTCAAAATCAAGTGCGAGACAATTTAGTTTTTAAATAATGAGTTATTTCCACCAAAGCTTCCTAAATAGTCTAAATACTCCTAACTTTTAAAAAAAAAAAAAGAGTTTAGATTCTTCTATTTCTCATTTGATCATGATCATATTTTAAAATTAGATCTGTATGAAATGCTACAACATTAAGCTTGATAATGACTACAATCTGGTTTATGCAGTTAACTTGATAAACCTGATCTAACATTGTAATCCTTGTTTGGACGCATCATGAGATTCCATTGTTTGTATTTGCTTGCTTTTGGTTTATGTTTGAATGAAATCAGTCGGGGTGATTTCTTCTCATCTTCCTAAGTCTTGGTAGGCAGAGTTATCTAGGAGACGAGGACCTGCAACCTTCTTTTGTCAAAACAAATGCCTCCAAGAGCTGTTTTATGCCTGACACTACTTTTTTTTGGAAATACTGTTCGAATACATTTTAGCTGATCATATCAATTTTTAGCTAATAAAAGGCCTTAAAGTTGGTCCTCTATCATATATTACAAGGAGCTATAATTTCCTGAAACATAGTTGCAAAATCCTAAGAGTTGCAGTTTGTGGACCCCTTTTATCTTGAATATATTGGCTCAGTTTATGGTCCAATCTGGGAGTTGAATACTGGAGGAGACAGATGCCTTGATAAAGGGGTTTGGAATGTCCTCATTGTATGAATCAAAAAAGTGTTGTTGCTAGTGATCCGATGCTCAATGAGTTTAGAGGATTCAAGTGGTTGCATGGGAAAGCATCTAAAGCTTTGGGATGCCCGAGTGCCTTAAACCATAATGTTTGATATCTCGAACTTGTTGCATCATTTAACTTTGGTTTCCATTTATACAATCTGATTTTCTATCTGATGAGGTGATCCACTGATATTAGTGAAGAAATTGGGTTTCCTTGAAATTAATGATTGTTGTATGTTGCCATCATTACAAGGTTTTAAGCTTGGCTCTGAAAGACATACAACTGAAGTAATGGTCGATAAATCAGGAACATTGCACCTGACATCTGGTATTGAAGGATTATCAATTCTGAAGACAACTAAGGTAATCCCTGTTATACATCTGCCTAAGATTCTTTCTTTATTTTCTGCTTCTAGTTGTTGCAGGTAAAGTTACAGTTCCACATACCTAAAAACAAGAAAGAAAAGGGTTCTGGAGTTTGAATGAGAACTTTTACGGTATCCTATTAAGATATGTGATCCTCCTTTAGTAAAATGAGGTATGTCACACTCCAGGAAGTCATTTTAGTTTGTTTTCTTTCGACCCTCCCACCTTCTGGACGGAGTTAGTGGAGGTTGGGGCTATGGATCAGCTACAAGGCAACAAGGGTAGTACTCTCAGGAATGATGGAGATATAGCTGGTATGTAGTTTGAGATGGTTTATATGTGGGTCACACAAGATCCATTCGGTCCCACATAGGTCCTTAGTCTTCCTTACTCTAAAATTGGAGCTCCAGCATCTAATATACTTCTTCCTATAGTAACTAGGAATTCTTTTTTACGTGATTAAAATTGGTAGTACACATTTCTTGATGCACCACTCTAAACAAATGGCTACTGAATTTTTTCATACAATAAGTGCAGTGTTGATTTGTATAACAAATGGCTTATTGAAACAGTCAGGTTTTGAAGGATTCATTAGGGACCGGTACACTATGTTGCCTGAAACACGCGAAAGGATGATGGCTACAGAGGTCACTGCATCTTGGAGGTAAATTATTCATCTTTTTATGTTTCTAAAAGAAATGGTGTTAAAGTTTTCTGACATGAATGAGATCTTAGTCTTGCTTTGGTAGTTGTTAGTCATACTACCATGTTTCATTCTGCCCATTGTTGACCGTGTTGTGAACCTGAGCATTGGTTAATACAGGTACTCTTTTGAATCTCTCTCAAGTCTTCCCCTGAAGCCTCTGTATTTCACAGATAGATGCATAGATGTGAAAGAGGTCCTGCTTAACACATTCTTTGGACCATCTAAGGAAGGAGTATACAGCCCTTCTGTTCAAGCCACACTTTACGAAATGGCAAAGGCTGTTCTTGGAAGGTCTTTCTCTCAATTTCAACTCATAAGACGTTTCCTCATTTTCCTCGCACACACACAAGTGAAACTAAACCTCGATATCACTTTATTTTCTTCTTCAAGTTTCATAATTGCTATGATTCCTTATGGTTTCTTGGTATTGTTCTTTCAGGTCTCCTGACATTTCATTCATTCAGTTGAAGATGCCAAATATCCATTTTCTGCCGGTCAATTTGCCAAGCAAAGATAAACCAGACATTGTTAAGGTAAACTTGCCCTTTCCTCATTTGCTGGACTATAGTGGAACTGTGTGCTGAAATGCAGTGAATATGAAGTTATTTCCCAACCCTTGTAATGATACTTACCAGGCAACATCCCGTCCAAAACTGGACAGTAAATAAGCCTTAATTGAGGCCCTTCCCTTTGTGAAGACAGAATTGGGCCTTGTCATCTATAGTTAATCTATAGATTAAAAGTAATCTATAGATGACAATGCCCAATTCAATTGTAGGATATAAAGCTAATCTATAGTTAGTTAACTATGGATGGATGTAAAACTAATCTATAGTTGGTTAACTAACACACAAATACAGCTGGAATGTAGGGAACTAACTACAGTTCAGCTAACTTTATTGACGGCTGGATCCTCAATATTGCGGAATATACCTTACCTGTTCCAAAACAAAAGAAAAAGAAAGATAAGAAGACCAATGGAGAAACTGAGTTGTTTTAGGAAAGCAAGACAGGCTGGATTAGTTAGGGGGAAGGGTGGGACTAAGGGCCAGGGGAAGTCAAGGGTTCTAAGGCAATGAATAGAGGTAAAGTAGTGATGTCTGGGCTTGGGAAAAGGGAGCAATCATGGAAGTGAATCAGTGGACCTGGGATAGAAGATTCTTAGTGATCAGATCCAAATTTTATTCATGCTAAAGAGAACTTGAAAGTAGATATACTGCAATGACATCAGATGCTTGATAAATGAACAAAAACTAGTATATCTGCCACTGGCTAAGAAGAAACTCCAACAAACTACATAGATGTTCTTTCTACCTGCTTTTCCATGGCAAAACGTGTCAATACTGGAGGGATGGTCTACATGGATTTGGTCTCAGGGAAGGAAGAGAAGTGATGGGGGGCTGGAATTTGTTGGCGATAATGAATCTACATCATGCCAAGTCGTGGGATACAGTATCTACATGTAATGGAAGAGTTTGAAACGAAAGAGGGTACAGTTAATAATCCACGTAAATGATTTTCTCAAGTTACATATCTTTAACCACGTATTATCCAGTTGCTTCAGATGTTCTAGTTTTCCAGATGCATTGTTATCACTGATAATGTACTTCTCTCATGAGCTTGAATCAATGGCTGATATTTATCTATTGTAACCTTTCAGTTTGCTGACGATGTTTACTTGCCAACGGATGAACCACATGGAACGATTCAGGCGACTCTCAGTCGTCTAACGTCAAAGATGTGAATTACTGCTGATCAAATGGTACTGCCTATGTTCATTTGCTTACATTTAAGTTGTTACCAAACCAAAGCTACACAAGTGGGAGAAATGTTTCTAGCAAGAAGCAACAACATATAACATGTTTCTGAATCTTTGAAGTTCGTTGTACACATTTAACATATAGGTTAATAAATGTATTGCAACATGATTTATCATTGTGATGTAATCCAACTTAATAATAAATCAACGTCATAATATATGAAAACGAGTATCCCTTGGAGTTATATTTTAGTATCCCTTTAAAATAAATTATAATAATATCTTATAAATTATACAAACTGGATACCAATATAATTTCGCAAGGAAAAAAATAAGTTTTTCGATTTTAGAGGCAAGAAAACGTTTTGAAATTTTGACGTTTAAGAAAAACATAAAAGATACTATGGGCCCGTTTGGATGGGCTTAATAAAAGCAGCTTTAAAAAAATACTTTTGAAAGTGCTGAAACTTATTTTTAAAATAAGTAGTTATGCGTTTGGATAAAAGTGTTGAAGTTGTTATGTCAAACGTGAAAAGGGAAAAATAGAAGAAAGAGATGTTAGGGTTATATGGGTAACTTGGAGATTGTATAAAAATATTAAGGGAAAAAACATAAAAATGTGATTAACTTAAAACAGCTTATAAGCTAAAAAAAAAAAACACCCCTACCCCAGCTTTTAACTTTTGGCTTAAAATAAGTTTTTCTTAACTTAAAATAAGTTATTTTGAGTATTGCCAAACATTTAAATAAGTCAAAAACCAGCTTTTAAGTCAGTTTGATCAGCTTTTAAGCTGAGCCAAACAGGCTCTATTACTAATGTTTTGGCATAATATTTTTTTTCTCGTATGTGAAAAGACAATAAATAAAACTCATTTATTTTCAATTTCATTGGTACTCAAGTTTCTATAAAGGCATTTTAAAAACAAAAAATCTTTTATACTTGAGTTGTGTTTTGTGTGATATATGCTAAAAATGATTTATTATTTTGTAACAAAAATCAGGAATATTAGATCCCATAAAATATGATTATACTACTGACAACTGTATATTAGAATTTAGATCATTGTTTACGTCATTTTAGCCCCTTTAAATTCTTCAACTACCTTGTGATTTAATGGTATAAAACAAATGCTAAAATGCTTTAACACACAAATTGTTCTTTTTCTTCTTTCTTTCTTCTCTTCTAACCTAGCATTTTAAAAACAAAAAATAAATAAATAAGCATAAGCATTAATTCTTTTCCCAAATACTTAGAAAAAGTCCAGGAATCTTCCTTTTTTTTTTTTTCTATTCAGAAAATCCAATTTCCTCTTGATTTCCTTGTTCTAGAAGATACCATTTTTTTTAACAAAGAAAATTCCAATTTCTGATGTTGGCATACACGTAATATTTTCTGGTATATAAGAGGATTGTTCGATGTTTTGTTCTCCCAATAATATTAAATTGAAGATTTTGCGTTTATACAATTTGGGTTTGCTATTTCTTGAATTTTTTTTCTTAAAGTTGTGATTTTTATTTGGAATCTTTGGATATGAGTTTAGGGGGAGAAAAGAAAAATGTGGTTGTGATTGGGGGTGGAGTTGCTGGTTCTGTTGTAGCAAAAACCCTTCAAAATGAGGTCAATGTTTCCCTCATTGATGAGTAAGCATTTCTCTTTTATCAACTTTTTTGCCTCTCATTGTGAAATTGATAATGTGTTAGCTTTATTAGTGTCCCTAACTCGTTGCAAAGATAAGGGGGTAAGGTTTGCGTATATGTTATTCTCAAGTAGATTTCATTCGCGGGATTACACCGGTTATGTTTTTTGTTAGATTTATCATTTATGTGTGTCCATATCCTCCAAAGATAGGAGCAATGGGGTAAGGTGTGTGTACATCTTCTACTCGTCAAACCCCACTTGTGGGATTACGCGAGTTAGCTTTATGAGTGTCCCTAACTTGTAAAGACAGGGATAAGGTTTGCCTGCACCCTACCCTTCCCAGATTCTACTCATGGGATTACACCGGTTATGTTGTTGTTGTAAGATTTATGAGTGTTCCAAGTACATGCATACCAGACCTCACTTGTGGGATTCTACTCATTGTTTCAGTTTCTTGACTTTTTTTAAATCATGACTACTTGTTTGTGCTTGTTTATTACTCTATTTATTAGTTTATTGTGCTTAAATTAACTGAATACATGAAAATGGAACAGGAAAGAGTATTATGAGATAACATGGGCAAGCTTAAGGTGTATGGTTGAACCTGAATTTGCAAAAAGATCCGTCATTTCTCACGCTGAATACCTCCCTCATGCGAAAATCATTCCGTCAGCTGCAGTTGACATCACAGACACTTATGTATTGACCAAACAAGGCAGCCGAATTGCATATGACTATCTTGTAGTTGCCACTGGTCATACACAAAGCGGTTTTGAGACGAGAACGGAGAAGATCAGTCAGTACCAAGCAGGTATTGCTCCAATCTTGTGGTTACTTTTGTGTTCTGCTTTCATAGAACTCAAAATCTTATGTGCAACTAGTTTTTTGCTTTTATCTTATGACACTAACCTTAAGAAATTCGACGGTTTTCTGATAGGGTAATTGAGTACTCAAATGGTTATATATTGCCATCACCTTACAAATAGCTTGTCTTACTAGTTTAAATTTCGGTCACTTCAAAAACCATATAATAATATAAAACTTTAAGAAGGGGGCTAGGGTGTATGGAGAAGAAAGGAACAGAAATTAAAGAGAATCGGATTCATCTTCTTGTTTTCTGTTTAGGAACCCAGAGAGGCTAAAAGAAATTCTTAGCTTTGGTTATGTCAGCAGTACATATTACTGGATGTTATTTGTAGAAAACCATAGATTGATATAAGCTCTTTACATTTGGTATACCAAGTGTATATTGGGACTTAGATCACAACATCATTAAAAATATGACAGCACAATAGCAAGATACAAAAGCAAATGAAGCAACAGATGAAAGAGTAGTAATACAAATCAAATTCCCATTGTTCATTAAACCGATCAGGGCATTAACTTTTGCTCAACTCTTGTTCCTTGGTTTACAGAGTATGAAAAGATAAAGGCTGCTGATTCCATATTGATAGTCGGAGGAGGGCCAACAGGTGTGGAGTTGGCTGCTGAAATTGTTGCAGATTTTCCTGCTAAGAAGGTGACATTGGTGCATAGAGGATCAAGATTATTGGAATTTATTGGAGAAAGCGCCAGCAAAAAGGCGCTGAATTGGCTTACTTCAAAGAAAGTTGAAGTCATATTGGAGCAATCAGTCCTTGTTAACTCTCAATCAGATGGTGTTTATAGAACATCTGGTGGAGAAACTATAGTTGCTGATTGTTATTTTCTTTGCACCGGTACACTATTTGGTTCAGTATGGTTAAAACAAACTATCTTGAAGGATAGTTTGGACAGTCGTGGAAAGGTAATGGTTGATTCAAATTTGAGGATCAAGGCTCGCAAAAATATCTTTGCTATTGGGGACATCACTGATGTTCCGGTAAGTCAACGATACCTTGTTTAGTTTCTTACATCTTGTTGTCAACTTGTCATCCCTATAAACCTTAAATGTACATTCAAGAAAGCGTTTTTCAAGAACCTCTGTTTATGCATCTTCTCTTCCTAGCTCCTCCTCGTATAGAAAAGTCGATGCAAGTAACACTAGAACCTTGTTAATATTTGTACAGTATGTAAATGGATAACTATTACTCTACCAATAAAAGCTCCAATGGATCGTAGTAGTTCTCGCGTCATAAGAAGCATTTTACGTAGAAGACATTCTTACTTTTGTGATGGTGAAATGCAGGAACTTAAACAAGGATATTTGGCTCAAGAACACGCAAAGGTAGTAGCCAAGAACATCACGTCGTTAATAAAGGGAGTGGAAGATGATCACAAATTGGCTGTATATAAACCAGCAACCAAGGCATTGGCTATAGTTTCTCTAGGGAGAAAAGATGCAGTGGCTCAATTTCCTTGTTTGTCAATCGCTGGACGCATTCCAGGCATGATAAAATCTGGGGATCTATTTGTTGGAAAGACGCGCAAAGGACTTGGTCTACAGCCCAGCGTTTAGTTGTCCTGCTTATAATGCATGTTAGAGAAGTTAACATCTACGTACATTGTACCATTCCATTACTCCATTTGTGGGATTGCACGGTGTATGTTGCTGTTGGTGGTTATTTGTGGACATGTAAACTATATATCAATATTCTGGTTTTAGCTATTATAGCAAAGGCAATTATTATCAAGTATATCTAATGGCATGTTTGTTTATCAAAATTATTGATTAAAGAAAAGTACAAATATAGGAAGCACAAGAAGAGAAAGGATTAGATCTTAATTATCAATTTCTTCATTTAAGAAAGGATTATTAAAACAGGTTTCAAACTTCAAAAGCCATTAAAGCTTAGTTGCTAAGCTATCAATTTCACCTGGTGATCCATTTTTCATGGATCCAACCAATTAGTCAAAATACAAGAAAAAAAATAAGTGTGAAGCTATGTACAGATTTATCTTTTAGGCATAATACATAAAGGTATAACTGTACTTTTTAGTTTCGCTTTAGTTGACATTCATGTCCTTTAAATTTTGGTGTGCATAAGTAGAAATATAAAGGGAAAAGGGTCTGATATACTCCTCAATTTTGTCATTTGGAGCTGATATACCCCTTGTTATGAAAGTGACTCATATATACCCCTACTTGTAAACAAATGGCTTACATATAACTCTGTCGTTACAAAACGGCTCACAAATACCCTTCATTTAACGGAAGTTAAAAAATTAATTTTAAACTTATATTTATTACTTCTAATTTTTTTAAAATAATTATTTAGGGGTATATATGATTCTTCTATCAAAGTTCAAGGTATATTTTAATTTTTTTCATACATAAATTATTTTTTGACTTCTTTTATTATAATTATTTGAATTTCTTATTCTTATTTTATTTTTGTCTTTCATTCCTTAGTTTAAGGGGGGAAAAATTAAACTATTTTTTGTGTGTATTGTAATTTAATTTTGTATTCGAAGAAAAAATTTGGTCATTTACAATAGTTTTACAAGAATATTAGTGAAACATAAATAAATTTGATTATCAAAATAATAATTATAAATTAGTCATTGAAACAAAAAAAGTCAAAAAAATATGTTTGACGACGATTAAATTTACTCATATGGGATTATACTTTTTAGAAAAAAAAAATAAAAATTTAGATTAAAATCATATTTTTTATCATTTCCGTTAAAGGAAAAAGGTATATGTGAGCCATTGGTTTACATGAAGGGGTATATATGAGCCACTTTCATAACAAGGGATATATCAGCTCTAAATGACAAAGTTGAGGGGTATATCAGACTCTTTTCCCAAATATAAATTTGTATAAAATTAAACAAGTTGATACACGTGTCCTACATGACATAGTACACGTAGAACGTCACGTAGGATACCAAATTGTCATGTAGGATAAATGTGTCTATTTGTTCAATTTTATACAAGTTTAAGTGTCTACTTGTGCACACACAATGTTAAAAAGGTCATAGTTGCTGACTAAAAACCAGAGGTCATAGTTACATGACAATTTTGTGTCCAACGTGGCGCTTACATGTATTATGACAAGTTTAATCGTCAGTGTCTACTTGTTCAAATTTAAACAAGTTTAATCGTCTACCTGTGCACACTCAAAATTGGAAAATCTGCTGGTGTTTACATTGAATATTTGATCCTAAAAGGTGTTTATGCTTGTGTCTTTTTTGTTGTTCTTCGTAATCTGATTTATATTCGAGCTTGTAAAAGTTAGATTCCTGGAATGTTTCCTTGCCAGTTGAGACAAGTGTTTGTTTGTGTATTAATTATGTCAACATAACATTGTTTCAAACTTCTCAGTGTTTTTCTTGTATGATTACTGTTATTCTTATTCTGATAATATAACGTATTTTCTAGAAATAGACCAATGGTTGAAAAAGTAAATCATTTAGAAATGCATCATCTCTTTTAATTAAACAAATGATAAAGGTAACTGCACTAATATGCCTTCAGAAAAAGAAAGATATGAAAAAGCAGACCATAACAGTACTTTAGTCTAATAAATAACAATGCAGAGAGATTATTAAATCTTTTAGTTATTCCAGCAAACAAAGAGAAATGGCTTATGCTGCTCTTTCTTCACTTATCTATACACTGAACCAACTCTTGAAACCTAATCAATCTTTGATTTGTCGATGTTGTACACAACAACATCTCGAATCACTCTGTCAAAATCTTTCTGCTCTGCAAGATTTCCTCGACAATACTATGACAAAGGATATTGGAACTCTTAAGGTATCTAATTCACTAGTATAATATCTAAATCTTACTGATCTTATAAAAAAGATATATTTTTTTTAGTAGTGCTAATTTATTGAGTTTCAATTTCAAGGTTATAGAAAAGAGGATCAGAAATGTAGTATACAAAGCAGAAGATAGAGTTGATTTAAGTCTAAGAAGCATCATTCTAGCAGATCACGAAGACAAACGGCAAAAGGCTTGTAGATCCTTTTATGAAGAATTGTTGAAAGTGGAAGAACAAGTTTATTTTCTCAAAAAAGAGGTGATGATGGTCGAGTTTAACAAGCATGGAAGCAAATCTGCAGAACTAGCAACAAATCCTTCCACACTCGAAAAAAGTAAATTTGAGGAAAATATTGTTGGGATGGAGGATGACTTCAACACCATACTTGATAGCCTCACTACCCAAACAGATGAGTTAATTGTCATACCAATTTTGGGAATGGGCGGTATAGGTAAGACAACTCTTGCCAGAAAAGTTTTTGGAGATTCCTATATTCGTTCTCGATTTGATAAACATGCATGGGTCACTATCTCCAAAGAATACAATCAGAGACAAATGCTTCTTGAAGTTGTCTCTTCAGTTACTGGAAGCAAGCAAGAAATGAGCGATGATCAACTAATGGAGATTGCGTATAAAGGTCTGAAGGGTAGGAGATTTCTAATTGTCATAGATGATATTTGGAGTACAAAAGCTTGGGACCAAATACAAAGAATATTTCCTAACGATGACAATAAAAGCCGAATTCTATTAACCACTCGGCTCAAGAATATTGCTGATTATGTCAGTTGTCCTGATTTTCCTCCTCATAGCAAGTCTTTTCTAAGTCTAGATGATAGTTGGAATCTATTCACTGAAAAAATATTCAAAAAAGATCCATGTCCTCCTCTACTTGTAAAAATAGGGAAGCATATTGTTCAACAATGTCAAGGATTACCTCTCTCGGTTATTGTTGTTGCTGGACTTTTAGGAAAAATCGACCCAACGCATAACAATTGGAAGATTGTTGAGGGAAATCTGAATTCATTCTTTGGTACGGTATCTGAACGGTGCCAATCAATTCTGTCTCTGAGCTATAATTACTTGCCCCAATATTTGAGGGCTTGTTTTCTTTATGTTGGAGGTTTTTCTGAAGATATGGAGATTGATGTTTCCAAGTTGATTAGGCTATGGATTGCTGAGCAATTCGTAAAGGCAAGAAGAAGCAATAAAAGGTTAGAAGTGGTTGCGGAGGAGTATCTACAAGAGTTAATTGATAGAAGTCTAGTTTTGGTTGGTAAACAAAGGGCTAATGGAAGGATGAAAACTTGCAAAATTCACGATCTCCTTCGACAACTGTGCATAAGAGAAGCTAAAACTGAAAATGGTTTGAATGTCATGAATGGAGATGTCACCAGAGCCATATATTATAATATGCAGCAGAGCAGTCGTATAACTCGCACCTTTATTCCAACATCATCTTTTGGTTTAGTTTTTCCAAAAAGGATTTTCTCCATTGTTTCAGAGTTGAAGTTGCTTAAGGTGTTGGACGTATTATCAGTTGAATGCGATTTCTCTTGTGTAATACCTCATCTTGTACATTTGAGATATGTTGCTGCAAGAATCGAGAAAGCTCTTTCACTAGACAAATTGAGAAATCTACAGACCATAATTCTTCAAAGTCTTGAAGAGACGGAGCTGAAACACCCCTTAGATATTTGGAGAATGTCAGAGATAAGACATGTAGATATTGGATTGCCACTATATATATCTAATCCTCTTGATTCCGAAAATCATAGTATTGGAGGACACCCTTTGTTTCTCAATAACTTGCACACACTGTATCTTCATTATTCTCCTTTTGTTCCGGAAATCATAACGAGAAGTCCCAATCTAAAAGAGCTAAAGATTTCAGATAGATCTGAGCATCCTGTTTTTGATTCTCTCAGTCTTCTATATGATTTGGAGACACTACATCTAGCAACCTTTGACCCGATGATTTTCTCCGGAGATATTTTCCCTCCTAATCTAAAGAAATTGAGATTATCATACACTAGATTACCATGGGAAGTTGTGAATTTGCTGGCTAATTTACCTAATCTTGAGGTGCTCAAAGGGAATGATGCATTCAAGGGAACAAATTGGAGATTAAATGAAGATGTTGTGTTTCGCAAATTAAAGCATTTAAAAATTGTAGCCGGAGATCTGCAAAGGTGGGAAGTAGCTGGTAGTGATAATTTTCCGATGCTTGAGCAACTAATACTACATCAGTTGCGTGATCTGGAGGAGATTCCGGTGAGTATTGGAGAAATAATGACACTAAAATTCATCCAAATAAACTGTTGTGGCTCTGGTGTAGACACTAGTGCAACGAAAATTCAAGAAGAGCAACAAAGCTTAGGAAATTATGAGCTTCAACTTCGAATTACTCCTATGGTATGTTCATTTCCATCTTTCATTATGACTCAATTCTTAATTAATATGCTCATCAAAAAAAATTGTTACAGTAAAGTTTTCAGTTTTTTTATTATTTCGAAGTTTACTCAAAAGTGTCCACATTTTTTCAACAGCCCGACTTATCTCGAGCTACTGTGCCTGCTAATTCGGACAGGTAACGAATTATAACCTTCATTTTTTCTGAAAATAATCATGAATTTCCATTGTTTAGCTTCAAATTCTGTTTTGAGATCGTTTGAATTCAAACTACGATGGTTTAGGCATAAGAAGAGGTGTAGGTGTTCTAGTGAGAGGTTGGCTATGGTCGGTGGGTTTAAGGAGAGGTAGAGGTACACCAAGAAAGTATCAGGAAGAGGTGATTAGACAGGACATGTCAGATCATTAGTTTACCGAGGATATGTTCTTAGATAGGAGGTTAGACTCGCTATCCTGTGGATATGCTTGGTGGTAGTTTGGTACGGAGTACTTGTTTCTCTGTGGTAGTAATATTATTCTCATAGTTTCTTGTCCTACGATTTTGGTTACTCCTCGTGTTTCATGTGCTATCTCTGCTTACATTCAAAATGTCTCCGTGAAAATAGAAATATTGTATAATCCAGAGAAGCAAAACGGATGAGGCTTGCTAAGCTGGACGCCCTCACATTGCTTCCAACATGACTTGAACCCTCGACCAAGATAATTGGTTAGACCGTGGAGGTGTTTTACCAACTGAGCAAGTCTCACTCGTTATGTTTTATATGTAAAGTATAATGTTTAGTTGTATAGTTTGTTCCTATTTTTGAGTTTCTTATTCTTATTTTGTTTTTTTTCTTTCATTCCTTAGTTTAAAGAAAAAAATTAAACTATTTTTTTGTGTGTATTGTAATTTAATTTCGTATTCGAAGATAAACTTTGGTCATCTACAATAAGTTTTACAAGAATATTAGTAAAACATAAATAAATTTGATTATCAAAATAATAATTATAAATTAATCTTTGAAACAAAAAAAAGTCAAAAAAGTATGTTTGACGATGATTAAATTTACTCATATAGGATTATATTTTTTAGAAAAAAATAATAAAAATTTAGATTAAAATTATTATTTTTTTCATTTCCATTAGAGGAAAAGGTAAATGTGAGTCATTTGTTTACAAATAGGGGTATATATGAGCCACTTTCATAACAAGGGGTATATCAGCTCTAAATGACAAAGTTGAGGGGTATATAAGACCCTTTTCCCATTCTTTTATCGAGACTTAATTCAAATCACGATGATATTTTCTTGTTCTTGAATAGGTAATGATTAAAATTGTAAACTCACCATAGAAAAAGGCGTAGATGGGCAAAAACCACTTGACAGTAAAGAGAGGAGTTATAGCTTACTCTACTTCCACTGTCGCCTTTACCGTTTTGGCGTACAAATTTCTCTACTTTGATTTTGAGTGGGTATAAGTAGAAATTTTTAATTTGTATAAGATCGAACGAATAGATACATGAGTCCTATATGGTGTCCTAAATAAAATTTATGTTCTGCATGGAGTTCTACGTGTATTATGTCATGTAAAATACATACATTTTTCTTATTCAATTTTATATAAGCTTAAATATCTAGCACACCACCCAAAATTGAACCACGCCAACTTAAAGTTAAAAAGAGAATTATGCATTTTGACTAACCATAAAAGTAGTGTAAAGTGGCTGCCTTGTGCATCATTAGTCAACAAACTTATTAGCAATCATCAATTGTTTAATTAAAGATAATGATAGTAAAAGCTTAGTCCACTACATCTTATCTCACAATTATAAAATACAAAAGAGATACCCCATTGAGCATGTTGTATCTAAAGTAGTATTAATTAAGAGTGTGTTTGGTACGAAGGAAAATATTTTCTGGAAAATGTTCTTCAATTTTTTTATTTTTCTTAAAATTAAGGAAAATAACTTTTCTTTAAAAATTAAGGAAAATATTTTCTAAAGCTCTCATCCAATTTCAAATTACTTTTTTTTTTTGGAAAAACATCAATTTTTAAAAAAATAAAAATATTTTCAATTTCAAAATTTTATTTTTTCACCCGATCCCTAACCACCATCCCCTCCAGCCCCTCTCCCCCAACCCCACCCCTTCCCTAAAAAATTATTTTTGCTTTTTAATAATTTTTTCGACTTCAAATTTTTATTTTCGAACTCCCATCTCCCCTGGCCAGCCCCCCCACCCCACCCCCAACCCCCAAAAAAATTAATTTTGCTTTTTAAAAATACTATCAACTTCAATTTTTTATTTTTTCACTCTTACCCCCTCCTCCTGCCTCCCCTCACTACCCCTACCCCCACCACCCTACCCCAAAAAAAATTGTTTTTAAAAAATATTTTCAATTTCATAAATTATTTTCTACTCTAGTAAAAATAAAAGATGTTCCTCAAAAATAATTTTTATTCATAAATCAAATAGTAAAAATTATTTTCGAAAAATATTTTCTACTCACCAACCAAACATAAGAAAATAAGTTCAAAATCTACTTGTTTTCCTGAAAAACATTTTCCTTCGTACCAAACACACCCTAAGTGAAACAATTTGATTTTCTTGTTGTGTATTAGATTGTGGTTCTCATTTATCAATGGAAAAATCCATTATCTCATGTAATTAAACAAATGATACAAAGTAAATACAATAGTACTCTTTGTCCCCCATTTAGAAAAAGTTAAATCATTTGGACTAAACCTCTTAGCCTAATAATAACAAAGTAAAATATACCAGCAAACTGCAATAATTTTTTTGTTGTTAAGAGAAATGGCTTATGCTGCTATTTCTTCACTTATGTATACATTGGAACAACTATTCAAACCTAATCAACCTTTCGTTTGTCGAAGCTATACGCAACATGTTCAATCTCTCTGTCAAAATCTTTCTGCTCTGCAAGATCTCCTTGACGATACCACAAAGGATATTGAAACTCTTAAGGTATGTAATTCACGAGTATAGTTATCTTAAATCTTACCGATCTTACCTATTTTTTTTTAATAATAACTAATTTATGAGTTTCGATTTCAAGGTTACAGAAAAGAGGATGAGAAACGTAATATACAAAGCGGAATATAGAGTTGATTCAAGTCTAAGAAGGATTATTCTAGCAGATCGTGAGGACAAGAGGCAAAAAGCTTATACATCCTTTTATGAAGAATTGTTGAAAGTGAAAGGACAAATTTATTTTCTCATTAAAGAGGTGATGCAGATAAATATTAAAAAGCATGGAAGTAAATCTGCAGCCTTCTCACAAGATCAAAAAAGTACAATTGTGGAAAATACTGTTGTTGGGATGAAGGATGACTTCAATACCATACTTGATCGCGTCACTGCCCAAACAAACGAGTTGACTGTCATACCAATTTTTGGTATGGGTGGTATCGGTAAGACAACTCTTGCCAAAAAAGTTTATGATGATTCTTTTATTTGTTCTCGATTTGATAAACTCGCATGGGTCACTATCTCTGAAGAATACAATGAGAGGCAAATGCTTCTTGAAGTTGTCTCTTCAGTTACTACTGGAGGCAATCAAGAAAAGAGCGATGATGAACTAATGGAGATTGTGTATAGAGGTCTGAAGGGTAGGAGATTCCTAATTGTCATAGATGATATTTGGAGTACTGAGGCATGGGACCAAATGCAAAGAATATTCCCAAATGATGACAATAAAAGCCGAATTCTATTAACCACACGGCTTAAGTATGTTGCGGATTATGTCAACTGCCCTGATTTTCCACCTCATAGTAAGTCTTTCCTAAGTCTAGAAGATAGTTGGAATCTATTCACCGAGAAAATATTCAAAAAAGATCCATGTCCTCCTCTGCTAGAAGAAATAGGGAAGCATATTGTACAACAATGTCAAGGATTACCTCTCTCGATTGTTGTGGTTGCCGGACTTCTTGGAAAAATGGACTTAACGCATGACAATTGGAAGAACGTTGAGGAAAATCTGAGCTCATTCTTTGGTACAGTATCTGAACGGTGCCAATCAATACTGTCTCTGAGCTACAATTACTTGCCCCAATATTTGAAGGCTTGTTTTCTCTATGTTGGAGGTTTTCCAGAAGACAGAGAGATCAATGTTTCCCAGTTGATTAGGTTATGGATTGCTGAGCAATTCGTAAAGGCAAGAAAGGATAAAAGATTAGAAGTGGTGGGAGAGGAGTATCTACAAGAGTTAGTTGATAGAAGTCTAATTTTGACAGGTAAACAAAGTGCTAATGGAAGGATGAGAAGTTGCAAAATTCATGATCTTCTTCGCCAGCTATGCCTAAGTGAAACTCATACTGAAAATGTTGTGCATGTAATCAATGGGAATGTCGTCGTGTCTTCAGTAGAAGTAATAGATGATCAGCGGCGAGTGATAGGTCTGCATAAACATAAAGAGAAGCAAGTTTATCGTCCAGCGCATAGCAATGATATAACAAGTATAACTCGTACCTTTATTTCAACGCAATATTTAAAGACTTATTCCACTGTTTCAGAGTTCAAGTTGCTTAAGGTGTTGGACGTATCATCAGTATATTACGATTTCTCTTGTGTAATACCTGAGCTTGTACATTTGAGATATGTTGCTGCAAAAATTGGAAAAGGTGTTTCACTAGCCAAATTGAGAAATCTACAGACCATAATTCTTGGTGGTCTTGGAAGGAAAGAGTTGGAGCAACCACTCGATATCTGGAGAATGTCAGAGCTTAGGCATTTGGATATCAGATCAGCGCCACTATATATTTGTAATCCTCTCGAGGCAGAAAATCGTTTGTTTCTGAATAACTTGCAAAATCTTTATGTATATAACTCTCCTTTCATTGCGGAAATTATAAGAAAAACTCCCAATCTAAAAAAGCTAAAGGTTTTAGATGATTCTGAGCGCCCTGACTGGTCTGCAATTCTTGATTCTCTAATTCTTCTAAAGGAGCTGGAGACTTTACTCATAAAGCTGGAGAGCATTGACATCAACATTTTCTCCGGAGATATTTTGCCTTGTAAAATCAAGAAAATGACATTTAGTAGTAATATCAAGAAATTGATATTACTAGATACTTGTATACCATGGGAAGTTGTGAATTTGCTGGCTAATTTATCCAATCTTGAGGTGCTCAAAGGGTATCGCTCATTCAATGGAAAATATTGGAGGCTAAATGAAGATGTTGTGTTCCGCAAATTGAAATATCTACAAATTGTTTACATAGCTACGGAAAGGTGGAAAGTATGGAGAGATAAACAATTCGTAGGTCTGGAAATGTGGGAATTAGCAGCTGGTAGCAATAATTTTCCGATGCTTGAGCAACTAAAACTGTATGGGTTGCATAAACTGGAGGAGATTCCAGAGAGTATTGGAGATATAATGACACTAAAATTCATCGAGATAAAACGTTGCAGCTCTGGTGTAGAGAATAGTGCAAAGAGAATTCAACAAGAGCAAGAGAGCTTGGGAAATTATGAGCTTCAGCTTCAAATTATTACTGCAAAGGTACGTTCATTCATATCCAGCAGAACTTTTCGAATTTCAAGACTAAAAGAGACTCAATTTTATTATCATATATTGTCAATTATGATAATTAGTAATACTTTACGTAGTTACAAGTAAATAAATTTCACGCGTAAAATTTTTATCAAATTTAAACTGCTCAACTCTCAAAATTAAAAAAATAACAATATCATATGATTAAATTTTAACTTCTCAACTCTCAAAAATAAAAAAATATCAATATTATATGACATTGATAATTCGTATTTCATATATATTACCAATAAAAAAATATCAATATTATATGACAT